CAAAAAAAAGTTAAGTGTATTTGAAAAAAATAAGTAAAACAGACCACTTTAGGATCCCCTTAAGTCTTTTCTTCTTGTTAGCTGTTGAATTGAGTTGTTGAATTTTTCATCAAATGATAAATGTGTCTTGTTGAAATAATAACAAAGTCGGATTTAATATAGATAATTCCTTAGACATTTCTTAATAGTTTTTTTTATAAATATTCTTCAAAAGACGACAATAGAAAATATTAATGTACATGCAATTTATCTGACACAACAATAATCCATCGATTTCTTTTCGACACACTTAGAAATAATTTCGTATACAAGGTCCCACGAAAAGTGGCCACCTCCTTTTATCTTTTAAATTAAAAATGATAGACCATAATAAATATATATCAAATTAAATGGTTCAAACTGAACTCTATTGTGAGCATAATAAATGCTTACAAAAGCTATCCGTGTTCATGAACGCAGAGCTATGCATAATTTTTTTATAATAATCTGGATATTTTGACGTAAGAAAAGTTATAGCGCTGTTTGAAAAGAATAGAACAATGTATGATTTAATGTTTTGTATGATAAATATTTAATGTATACATTTAATGGTACATTTAATGTATACATGTAATGTATTACATGTAATATACATTTAATGTATGATAAATATTTTACATATTATACGAGTTTTATTGGCTTGAAATATCGCAAGCGACGTCTACTTTTTCACTTTCGGCACTGCGAAATGGACAACTTCAATAATTAATTAATAATTAACAGCGCTATAATTTCAATTGACATACGTCAATCTCTAACGCACGAGTCAGAAGTTGGCCATATCGCAGGGCCGAAAGTGAAAAAGTAAACGTCGCCCGCGATATTTTAAGCCGATAAAACTCGTATAATAAGTAAAATATTTAAATTAAATCATACATCGTTGTACTCTTTTCAAACAGCGCTACAACTTTTTTTACTTTAAAATATCCACATTATTATTAAAAAAAATATGCATACTTCTCTGTTCGTTAACATGGATAGCTTTTGTAAGCAACTATTATGCTTACAATAGAGTTCAGTTTAAACCATTTAATTTGATATATATTTGTTATGATCTATCTCTTTTAATTTAATTTAAATTTTAATTTTAATTTAAAAGATAAAAGAGTGTGGCCACTTTTGGTGAGACACCCTGTATATACATTTTAATGTATACACACATAATGTATATACATTTAATGTATATATTTAATGTATATACATTTTAATGTAATACACACATAAATCTGAATTATCGTTAATATTTATCAGGATCGATTGGCTTGATACGATGATTTTTACAACTTCCAAATTCGATAATCTCGTCGTATCGATTTTTGTCCGGCAGAAGACCAAAGTTCAAAAACGTGTGAACAAGTCTGATTAATACTGTACTAAGATTTTTCGAAAATTTCAAGTTTATTAATTAATTGAAACATGCTGTTACGTTTGTTTAGCATCATATTGCGCATGAAAAGAAAAGTTCGCTCGAGACGATGATATATTTATAAGACTCATACATGTGACGCGGCGAGGTTTTCTGTAATAAACCGGTTGTATACGTCAGAAGTCGATGTACTTGGAACTAAAATGATAATCTTGCCATTAATGATAACCAGACAGTTGACGTTCTTCGCGAGCATCTTTATTATATTCCATAATTCTTCTTACTTTTGCAACGTGCAGCGATTAATTTAGCGCCGCTATTAATCAGCGGCTTTATGTACGCGTGTATGTATGTAGGACTTATATATTTATATGTAGGGCTTCTAACTTTCCACGATCCTTTCTCGCGGAGCTAATTAAGAAACTTATTATGAAACAATAGCACACGCAGGTTATTCGTAAATGAACGACGTAAAAAATTTTGCAGTAAACTCTCGGAAATTGAATTTCAAAAATTAAAAGTCCTACATATACAACTGTTGACGACGCTAAATTAATTATTTTCCGAGAAGCACTGACGGAAAAGATATGTTACAAAATAAAAGAAATTTTATGGGACATAATAAACAGATTCAAAAGTAAAAAAGGTTATTAAAAGGAAATTCGAAAAGCGCCGGCGATTATCTAAAATTTATTATCATTAATAGCGACATTATCATTAACTTCATGTACACCAATTTTTGACGGAAACATTAAAAAAACTGATCGATTTACATACACATCGTGTGTGCATTTTATTAATATTTAGTCGTTGTAAATAAACTCCTTTTCAAATGAAACAAGATATTTCTATTAACCTCAAATTTTTGATAAGTTGTATAGAGATTAACCCATTAAGTCCCGAACGGACGTTTTTTTGTGGCTTTTTTCAGCGGCTGTCTTTTCTACTAAACCGGTCCGAAAAAAATTCTAGAACAATCATTTCTAACATAAAATTATTTGAACTTTCAGAATCTGTCTTCAGAATTTTTCCAAAATGCGATCCAAAAAAGTTACGTTTATTAATTTTTATAATTTAAAAAAAAGGGATTTTTTCACTCGAACATTTTTTTCAATCGATATTTTCGCATCGAAATCGGATGAGGATATTTCTGGGAAGTGAAAATCTTGCGTCCATGGACCCTAAGCTTCAAAATGTATGGGTGGATATTTTGAAATTTAAGATGACGACGTCCAATATGGCGGTCCAAATTCATAAATTTGACGCTTTTTTTCGATTATTCCGAGCACAATTTTTTTTTATGAATTTCCAATGAAAATGGGTCTACTGACTCATTTTTTGGGTCGTTGATTACAAATCTTTTATCCTTTTTTTCGAATTCAAGCTGGCGGATTCAACATGGCGGACGGAAATTCTCAAAATGATTCAATTTTTATACAAATTTATATGTAGGCGTTTTTGGGTTGCTGATTACGAATTTGTTATTATTTTTTCAAATTCAAGATGGCGGATCCAACATGGCGGACGGAAATTCTCAAAACTCTTCAATTTTTATAAAAATTTGTATATAGGGGGGTTTCCCTAACAGCACATGATATCCTGCGTATCATCTCATTTTCATACTCATTCTACTGTGATTATCCGTTAAGTACTGAGATCAATCCTATAATATCTTTTGCAGTATTATTCGGTTTTCTTTCGCACACGTATAATCTCAGGTTTGACTCAAACGTACG